GTTTGACTTGACCCTCCTGAGCTCCAGTTTGTGCCCATTGCCCCTTGTCCTGTCCCTGGACACCCCTGAGCAGAGTCTGGCCCATCCTCCTGCCACCCCCTGCAGATATTGATCAGCACTGATCAGATCCCCCCTCAGCCTCCTTTTCTCCAGCTGAGCAGCCCCAGCTCTCCCAGCCTTTCCTCACAGGCAGATGCTCCAGCCCCTTCAGCATCTCAGTGCCCTGGGATGGACTCTCTCCAGTAGCTCCTTGTCCTTCTGGAACTGGGGAGCCCAGAACTGCACACAGTGCTCCAGATGCCAGAGTTGAGGAGTAGAACCTCCCTCCACCTGCTGGACACTCTCTTAATGCACCCCAGGATGCCACTGGCCTTCTTGGCCATGAGGGCACATTGTTGGCTTATTAAGAGCTGCAAGGTCTTCCCCACATGCACCTTAATATCAATCACAAACGTGTTAACTGGTAGAGATCAATAAAATGGACAGCAGTGTCAGGTCAGCCTTCTAAGTCCCTGAGTAGTTTTACAGCAACATAATATTTCTATCTCTGTTTTGTTGTACATGGATACAGACATCCTGGAGAACCAGGGTTTTTTCTCCTGAAAGTACCACATAAGTGTTCATCAACATGAAGTACCTTCAGAAACAGCTGGATGCCCTGTTTAAACTAAAAACCTGCATTTTGTGTAGGAAAATAGTAAGTAACATGATACTCAGGACTCACATTCATTAGGGTTGTTAGGAAATGCATTACTTCAAACTGGGCTGAGAAGCAATAGGTGGTGGTTTTCCTCAGTGAGTTATTTAATTTTGTGTTACTCAGCATCTCATCTTCAAACACCCCAATGCAAACAGGAAGAACATCTCACCTCATTGCTCACACTTCCCCAACTTTCAACACTGTCTTCCATCCCCCTGCACTTGGACAGGCTGGACTCAAATGTTTAAAGAGCTACCAAAACCTACAAGGAAAGTAAAGGAATAAAAGTAGTAACCCTGGAAAAGAGAGGCATCTTACCTTTTTCAGTGCCAACGAATATGGAGATGATTTTATTCCTAGGTTTTCTCTCTTCCGGTACAGAGGGCAGAGGTTTCAAGCTGTGGTTGGCATACAACTGGTCTTTGCCCCCTAAACTGAAGATAACACTGTTCATCCGGACAGGAGGAGCTGGTGGCTTGTCTTCCAGTTCTCCGTTGTCAGACATGGTTCTCGATAGCTAGTGAAAGCACTGAAATAGAAATATTTGTTTTAACTTAGGAAGAGAGCATAGAATACATAAATGTAGCATTTCTTCTGTTGGCCAGGAGGGAAAGGAGCTCAGCAAGCACTGCACTGGCAGACATCAGTGGCTCCACCAAAGGAAGTGGATCCCTTCCTCATTGCTGCATCCATTTGTGCCTGCAGTAGAATTTGTGGGATGAAGTAACAAGGTTTTCCAGTGATAAAACTAACACAGACCAAAACAACAGTCAACTATAACGTGGACCAATCCCCAGATCTGGTTCACTACCTGTTCACAAAGGGGTTGTGTCAGTGAAAAGGACATAAGTACAACTTATTTTAAGGGTAGCTCTAGCCCAAAGAGTCTAGAGTCAAGCACCTTTAGAAGCCTTAGATGGTTTCCTTATTGTCATTTATCAGACAAGATCTTGGGGAGAAAATAATAGCTTATGTTTGTAAGTCAGAATTCAGCACAATGTTCACATTAAGTTATACGAAGAAACACTCTACTCAAATTATGCAGCCTATTTTAAAGAACATGGGACTAAGATTCCCTGGATGCATTCCACTTCTGAACCAGGACTTGCACTGCTCCCCCACTTTGTGCCACACCTCTTCCACTTGCGAAAAGGACTATCACCCCAATCCTCTGAGTCCTTAACAGAAACATCAGCAAGATAATGAACCAAAGTGCTGCCAAAGCCAAAACCACAGCACAATAAAGCATCAACATGACACTTCCCACATTCAAGAAAGTCTGCCCTGGCCTCTCTCCTTCCCTGTAATATCCTGGAGATGTGTCTCTGATCACCAAGACACAGGCAGTCTTGTCCCAGAGCAAAGAGCACAAATAAAGATTTACAGAAATTACTTACAATGACAGCTGAGTAACAAATACACCCCTCATTGCTCCACATGTTCAAATGATGAGGTACCTCTTTGGAACAGGAGCCAACACATCCCTGTGTTGACCTCCTTCTCCTCTCACAACAGTTTGGGAAATGAAGAGCCTACTGGTGTCCACCAGCTGCCCATCATAGTCCCAAAGCATGACTCAGTCCCAGCCATATCACTGGAGCAATCATAGAATCACAGAACCATTCAGGTTGGAAAAGCCCCTTGGGATCACCGAGTCCAACCATCATCCCTGCTCTACAAAGTTCTCCCCTAAACCACATCCACCAACACCACATCCAAACCACCCCTCAACACACCCAGGGATGGTGACTTCACCACCTCCCTGGGCCAGTCCTCTAACCATAATAATGAAATATCCTCCATCTGGGCAGTGCTTTGAGCTGCCTGATACTAGCAAGAGCAGGATGTAAAGATAAACAACTAACCTACATCTGAAACTGGACAAGAGCAGACCTGGCTCTCCAAGCCCAAACTAATTCCCTGCACATTCCCTTGAGAGCCCAGCCACCAAACGTGGTATTCAGGTTGCAAATTTTAAAAATGCATAATAATTCTGAAATTAATTATTCCTGAGTGTCTGGTGTGCTTGAGAGATGAAACTGTTAAGCAACAAGTTGGAAGCAAGTATAGGGAAATCCAAAACTCATCTACTCCACTAGAAAATCAGGTGCTTCAAGACACTAGCATTACAGTATTCGGGCAAAAACCCTAAGGTTTGCAGCTCTGATCATTGTTTCATGTTCAAGGTGTTCAGAAACATCCTTGACCTTGCTCAAAGGACAGCTCAGGAGGAAGACAAGATGTGGAGCTGACAGAACAGTAGGGGAGCAAGGGGCAGAAAGAACCCAGGCACTGGCTTCCCACCAGAGAGCCTGGGTCTGTCATTTGCAGGTAAACAAAACCCTTCTAGCTCATGAAATCTGTTGTAGCAGAGCTTCAGCTTTTAGGAAAAACTTCACTGATATGATTTACTTAATAACAGCAAGTAGTATAATTTCTGGGTGGTTGTTTCAAAGACTGCTGTCAGAATAAATGGCTAAATGCAAAATTGTTTTGCACAAAGGACCACTTCAATGCACAGAAGCTTTGGATTCATAATTTGAAGCAATCACAACAGCTCCACTCACAACAGATGGCTTCAGGAAACAGAAGCCTGATCCTTCAGTCCTCACAGGAAGGTAAAAATCCATCCTTTTGTTCAGGTTCAAATCCAAACAGCTAGTTTCTTTCTGACAGCTGAGTGCAGAAGAAAAGAGCCGTTCTCCTCTCCTTTATCCTCTCCCTGTCTTCATTATGCAGAGAAAGTTTCCCCAGTATCAGGAAGTACTTTTGAAATTGCTGTAGAGGTTTGGCATGATGGGCCGTGGCTGGAGAAAGGATTATAAAAAAGAAAGAAAACAAAAAAAGGCCAAAAAGTTCAAAGACACCCTGAAGCTCTTTTTCTGCTCTCACTCCCCCAAGGAGGAAAAGGAGCCTGTTTGTTTCAAAGCAGCTCAGTGTAATCACTCTTGCACCATCACCCACGTGGCTGCCTTGTTGAATCATGGCTTGTGCAGAGTTGCAAGGACCAGGGGAACTTTCATTCTTTCCAGTCTGTGTACTGGGCAAAGGAGATGTCAGGTTCATATTTCTCTGACAGAATCAGACACTGCAGTTAATTGTGGGTTTGTTTTTTTCTTTTAGCTTGGTCGAAAGACATTTCTGAAAATGGTTAACCTGAGTTTGAGTGACCTAATCAAGTCTGGAAGAAGGATGACAGAAGAAGCAATGGCAATATATGGAAGAGGATGTAATCAGGGGAAAGGGATTCACTTTCATCTTTCCTGATGAAGATAATACCAGCAATAATTATGTATTTGGGCATGGTGATAGCTCCTCCACAATCACTAGTCACACCAGCTTTAATCACAAGAACTAGAAAGCAACGGAAGGAACCACAAGAGACAAGCTGTGAAGCTGCAAACAATACTTAAGAACAGACTTCAGGCAGATTCATTCCCACCACAGGACAGTCCTGCAACCCATTACACTCACACCAAAAAAAGAAAAAAAAAAAAGAGCAAAAAAGAGCTAAAAGCTTTTCTTCCAAAAGCTCTTCTGCTTACTCCAGAAAACATACACAGACCAGCACTCATGACCCCAAGGCACCAATTCTCAGTCCTTATCTCCAGTTTGTGATACTGGGGCAAACACAGAAGTATTCTTGCCATCCTTGGCAGCCTTAGACACCATTGCAATGTGAACTGCAGCACCTGAGGAGCAAACGTGCTCTCGTCTGCTGCCGAGCCTGCAGCAAATGGCCAGCCAGGGGCTCTGCCATCCTAAATCACTCGCCACCAACAGTGGGAGACCTGAAGCCAGGTTCCTTAGAAGCGCAGCTCTTCTCTTTCCGCCTTCACCCAGTGAGGCTGAGGCAAGACAAGCACAGAGAATCTCCTTGTGTGGCTTAATCCACCCTCTTCCTCCCAGCCCCTGAAGAGACCTGCAGTGACCCATTTGCACGTGTGTTCCAAGTTTCATTTTTACAACCATGTTCCAGTTCTGCTGCTCAGAAGCTTTCTTCCTTTTGGGGCAGAAAAGGGCCTGATAACCTATAGCATACACAGGCCACAGAAGAGAGACAGCAGTTCCTGTCACTGGTGGGAAAACACCAGAAAACATAACCCTGACAGCGAGTGAAAGATGGAACATAAAGTGAGAATCAGGCAGTGTTTTCAGAAAGCTGATGAACACACCCTGCTGCATCATGTTAGTCTGAATGCTCTGGCTTTGACTTGGCTTTTTGTTGGTTTTTCCCCCCCCTCAGGTGCCCCTTGTGTGAACATAAAGCAGGGCTGCTTCCTGAAGAACTTCCTAAGCACAGCTCTTGTGCTGGTCCTGGCTCCCAAGGCCTCCCTCGTGATCCAGGCTGACACACACTCTGGCCTGACTGCAGCCCTGTGCTTACACCCCAAAGCAAACCCCACCACTCACTCCTTCAGGCACTCAGCCATGTGCTTGTGTCTTCTTAAGACGTCCAAATAATGTATTTGAGAAGCCTAGGCTGCATCTGTATCTCACTGCCTGGGATACGATGCAAAAGTAAATTGGACTGCTTCTTGAAAATTAGAAGCCCCACAGATGAAGCTCAGAGCTTGTTTGAGAACATGTACCTGTCCTGCCACACACTGTCCTGGCTTGACACTGCCACTCCAGCAACTAAAGGAGCCAGAAGTAAATCAGTGAAATAAATCCTATCCTCTGTATGCACAAACCCTGACAGGAGGCTCATAGAGCTGCAGACTGAACTCAGCTCTGTTTATTGCAGGTAAAAGCTACTAATTTATTATCAGCAAAGTAACACCGAAGGAGCAACACAAACCTCAAATTTTTATCTATTTTGCAGAGCTGTCAAAAAAGCAGAAGTAATGGATGAGAGAGTTGGGATTGTTCAGCCTGGAGTGAAGCAAGCTCTGCTTCATAGAGAAGAGACTTCATAGCACCTTCCAGTGCCTGAAGGAAAGCTCTGGGGAGACTTCATAGCACCTTCCAGTGCCTGAAGGGGCTACAGAAAGGTGGGGAGGGACTTCTGACAAGGTCGTCGAGTGATGGGACAAGGGGGAATGGTCTTAAACTGGAAGAGGGAAGATTTGGGTTAGACATCATGCTAACAATGCCTTAAGAAATACAACCACTTTGCTTTTGAAATCATAATCCTCCATGTGCCACTACAGCCGTGGGTCCTTACTGGGACACCACCTGAGCCAAGGAGAGTTGCAGAACATTTGGGCCCCAGTCACAGCCAGCAGGCACAGTGCTTGAAAGCACCACAGCAAAACTGGTTGTGGTCAGACAAAAGGAATGGAAGAAAAGGACAGATCAACAGTGAAAAAAAGCCCTGACTGAGTGTAAGTGCATTTCCTTGCCCCTGCTCTAGCAGAAGGCAAGAGAACTGAGAAAATGAAGTTATCCTGAGAGCAATCTGCATGGTGGGGGCTGTCACTTGTTGTCTTCCTGTAGAGCCATATAGGGTGCTACTGGCAACGTCTGTCACGCACAGAGCTGCATCCGGGACAGCCAGGTCCA